GGGGGGGGGGAAGAAAAGCTGGGTATTGTGTGTACTGGTCTCCCCAGTACAAGAAAGACACTGACACACTGGGGCGAGTCCAGCGGAGGGCAGCCAGGATGCCTGGGAGGCTGAGAGAGTTGGGCTTGCTTTGGGTGGAGAAGCAGCTGCTGAAGATGAGGGGGATCCACTGGCTGTTTTCAGCTACCCGATGGGTGGTTATGCGAAGATGGAACCATATTCTCCTTGGAGTTGCAAAATGAAGGGCAAAGGGCAATGGGCACAAGTTGTCTCAAGGGAAATTCCAGTTGGGTGTAAGGCAAAACACCTTCACCATGAGGTTGCTCAGACACTGGCACACGTGACTGGGTGAGGCCCATATATATAACATAGCTCTGACGGTGACTGGCCTGGAGCAGGGGACTGGACCAGTGGCCTCCAGAGGTCCTTGCCAACCCATATTACTCTGAAATGGTATTAATCCAAATCTAACACTTCTCAACTGAGACTGTATCTGGCAAACTGGAGAAGAGCAGCACCAGAAGCAAAGGCTGTTTGCACCAGTTTGCTGCTCACTGGGACCAGCCCCCAGGTTGTGGTCAGCAGATCTGCTCCCCATCCAGCCAGCCCACAGTTGGTACTGTTTCAAGGTGTTATTCTGTTCCAGATGCATGACTTTCCCTTTGATAAAAGCTGAAGAAAGCCTTGCTTTAGGATGAAGTACAACAGGATCTTACCAAAACCTCAAGACTTTGTCTAAGGTCTTATGGCTGTATGATGACAAGATTATGTTAACGCCCTTGATTTCCTGGGCTGATTTATTTTACCTGAACTGACACAGCACATCTCTAAAGGAGACTTGTGCAGGACAGGCTGAAAAAGTGAGTCCTAGTGGCTTTGTGTTGTTTTTACCACATGAATGGCTTATGTGTGAAGAGAGGAGGTCATTTCTTACAAAGGTGTGCTTCATATTAAAGATTTAATAGCAAGAAATGGGCAAAAGATATTTCTTTGCAAATACATGTTTTCGGATGATAGTGTCACATAGTTATATATCCCAAGCCAAGTCCTTGCTTAGTTTTTTGTAATGGTATGCAGTAAGTAACTGGGACTTCTCAACAGCAGATCTATGTTTTAGGCCTGCAGTAACACCTGACTTAATTGGGTAGTGATAGGACAGGGGATGAAAAATATCTCTGAGGATTCATGTGTCACCCAAGGGGAGTCACAAGTGGGACCTTGCTTCATGTGCTGCAGATGGAGCGGCTTCCAGAGCTTTAGCTAACAAAGGACTTGTCTGTCGTATTTGGGGCTTTCACATCTTTCTGGAGTCCAGTTACAATGGAGGAGTCAAGCAAGTGAAGGATTAAAAGTTTCTGTAGGTGCTGAGTAACTTTGTTGAGTGCTTGTTATTTTAGGCACCTCCCAGTTCCAACAGAAATAAGATCAGAGCCTGTTTTTCCCCTATAACTTGTTTATACTGAAAAGGATGATAGCATGACTATCTGTCTCTCAAATGGAAAACAGATCTCGAGCACAGCTTGCTTCATTTAGAGAGGAGCTTAGCCAAATCTTCCTTCAGATGTATGCAAAGCCGGTGGGAATTCACCACTCGCAGCCAAAAGATGGCATTGATGTTTAACTTTTTAATACAGCTTTTGTATTTGAAGAGTTAGCCCTTTTTATTAATTTCTGCAATTTCCATATTAATCAGTGATTATCCTTCTACATTGTCCTCTTTATTTCAGCATTTGAGGTGACATGGCTTTAGGCAGAAGGAGACCATTCGTAATTTTACTCAGTTTAACTCCATTGACAGAATCAAAGTTACGCTTATCAGGGCTGAGCATGTATTAAAGAATATTTAATGCAAATGTCTGTTGCATGTACAGAAACATAATAATTGCAGTGGAGATTCTGCCAGCTAGGCAAAGAGCAAAGCAGTTTGCTGGGAGCTCCCACCCAGAGCTGGGAGCTCCCACCCAAAAGCTTCTGCTTTTACAGAAGCAAAAAAGACCTTGTCCTGCATCTCTGCACTGATCTTCCTGGCTGCAGGAGTGCACCAGCCTGACCCTGGCCCCCAGCTTACCCACATGAGGGCTGGGCAGGTGTTACTTTTATCTTTCCTTACAAGGAGGAAAACATGAGCAACACCCATGTTACATCACTGAGCAAGGATTGCAATCCATACGAAACCCTATGTTGGCATAGGTGACACTCTTAATCTTCCTTTTCTGCAGCTTTTTATTTGGACATCTGCCGATCTTGTGGAGAATGCTGAGGAAACAGGAGTTTATGCATGATCTCTTCCTGCAGTGGTAAGTTGAGACCCATCAGTAGCATCAGATGCGGTAGCCCTGTAGCACAGGTTGGGAAACCAAGGCACGGAGGTCCTGAATTACATATTTAGCATCATTCAGAAGGTTGGTAGAGGAGCTAGAGAGAGAGCATTGATCTTTCTCCTAATGGCTTTATTTGCTGAAGACTGCGGTAGTTTCCAGTACATGCTTCTTTGGTCCTTTGAGGTTATTAGGTCTGAACTGTTACATGTTGGTGGTTTGCACCATAATTCTCTCTTTTTTTTTTCCTCTTCTCTCCTTGTAGGGCAGAGAAATATGGACCTATTGTACGGCTTAATGCCTTTCACAGAGTCTCAGTGATGATTCTGAGTCCTGAAGGAGTGAAGGTACTGCAAAATAAAGCCAAATTGACAGTGGGGCTCAGCCCATCCCTCCAGAGAGTTGTGGTGCCTGATGTTCAGGGCAGTGTGGTGCAGCGTCTGTGCCTGCAGAGAGGGTGGCTCTGGCTGGGTTAGGAGGATGAGGTGCTCTGCTTTCTGGGCTGTCCTGATTTATTTTCTTCCTTAATCAGTTGATTTACTTTGTTACCCTTATTTAAACAGCAGATAGAGCAAGCATCCACCATTTCTGAAAAGCAGACTCTCTGCAAAAGCTTAATATCTCAGATGAATGAGGCACAAGGGACCAAATTTCTTCCTCAAATCTTTGCAATAACCACAGAGTGAGATTTCAGGTCACCAGGCAAAAAGTGCTAGAGGCAGGCAAAACAAGCTAGCAAGCACAGGAACTGGGGAATTGGGGCACACCAAATAATTCATCTAGTCTTCAGACTATTGCTACAGGAGGAAAAGAGTGAACGTGTGAGTGGCTTTTTATGTTTTGTTTGGGAAACGGATTGTACTCAGTATTCACTGACCTGAGATTTGATTTTAGGAGTTCTTGATGTCACCACAGTACCCAAAGGATCGGCTGGTGTACGGTCGTATCTTCAACATATTTGGTGAGAGGTAGGCGAAACCCATCTGAAGCTGTTGTGATCTGAAAATAAATGAAAGATGATAAATAATGACACAGGCGTGACACTTTGACTCAGACCATTTACCTTAGTGTTGGGCTTAATGACTAATTCCAGACATATGTAAGCAACGTCTACCTACTAAATTGTGTGTCAAGTCAAATGTCTTCACAGTCAGGGAGGAGGTTATGTTGGATTTTTTTTACCTTGATCAAATTTTTTCCCCCCTGTGGATGTTCAGTTATGCTCAAGACCATCATTAAACTTCTCACTTAGATTTTAGAGCACTGAATTTTTCCTTAATGCGTGGGAGTTTCCAGTTCCTAAACTCAATTAAAAAAAAGGGTATTTTCCTCTGTTAGCCTGAAGCTTTAAAAAATATAATAATCCAGTTGTTATATTAATTATTTGCATAACATCTGTAGTGAACCAGCATCTTGCTGGACTCAGCAGTCCAAACCTACCAGGCAAAACTTATCTGCAGTTCAGTCATTGTCCACAGTGATGCAACAACTGTGTACTCAAAGCAGCACGGTAATCCCTGCACATAGAAAAAGTACAAGAAAGCAGATGTGGAAGAGTTATCTTTGTGACCACACAGGGTTCAGCTGGCTCCCTTGCTGAAAACTGTTCTTTTCCTTGTTTTCCTAAATGCTAGGTTTCTAGGGAATGGCTTGGTAACTGTTTGCAACCATGAGCATTGGCACAAGCAGCGGAAGATAATGGATCCAGCTTTCAGCCGAACGTAAGGCAAATATCTCTGGAATGATCTAGCTGTCATATCTATTGTATTTTCATAATTCTCCTTGTCATTGATCCATTATTTATTGTTCAGAAAGAGAAAAAAAACATTTAGTGCCAAAATCACGTTTTACTTAGAGTCCAGTGCACCACTTCCCTCACAAGTATGATTTGACCAGGCTTCCTGTGAGAGAGTGACATCCATATGAGCTCAGCAATGGCAGAAAGGTCCCAGGGTTGCATATCCAGGAGTGTGCTGATGGCTGCCTTATCCTATTGCAAAACAAACCTTGGGGATTTGAAGTGGGCAAGCCTCATCATTCACCTGCTTGAGTGGTTCCCTGTGAGAGATATGGTGTGGTGGATGAGTAGGGAGTTGGTCTGGTTTGCTTGTGTGAGCCTCGATGCATTGTGTTTAGCATCTGAAGATAAAGTCCATTTGCTTCAGCATGCACAGACCGAAGTCCTTTGCCATGACAGCCATTGTTTACATGGCAGGATGGAGCAGGGCTGCTATGAGAAAAATTTGGCTAATTTTATGTGTTTGCTTTTTAAAGTATAAAGGCAAATTTATTATAAATTAAAAAAGAAAAATCCTTTACAGTTTTCAATGGAAAATTATAATTTTGCCTGAGCAGTGATGTCCTCTCCAGAGCCCACATCACTCGTTTTTATTGATTGTTCAGCTACCTGATTGGTCTGATGGAAACTTTTAATGAAAAAGCAGAGGAGCTGATGGAGAAGCTAGAGGAAATGGCAGATGGAAAAAAAGAGTTTAGCATGCTGACGATGATGAACCGGGTGACTATGGATATCATTGCAAAGGTACCAGCTGTCTGCTTTCTTGTTTCCTCTGCAACTGGTAGGAAGGAATGGAAGTAACAAGTTCCAACAGCAGGATGGGATCAAGAGCCAGAGCCAGGGAATAAGACCTTTACCCAGCAGTGCCAGAAGACCTGAAGGACTAATTGTGCCACTTCCATTCTGGCTGAGCCATAGGAAGGGGCAGTTGGGGAAGGGTTTGCACAGCTTATGTGTAGCCTGCAGGATGAGCACCCTTTGCAAAAGCCTTGTACCTCCCACCCCTCTGTGCCAAATGTGGCACACCAGGTCTTGTTCACATGTAGGTGTTGTATTATTACCATTGTATGTCAGCATGAAGTCTGCTTTATGCTGGCTTTTCCCTTCTCCTTGGGATGAATGGGGAGTAATAGTAAATTATTAATCCCCCCCAAATAAGGAGGAAGCATAATGTAGATACTACCTTTCCCTCGCAGCTTCCTGCAAGGTAGGATCTAGCCAGAGGTATTTTTAGGGGAAAAGACAGCGGTGTGAGACTGTCCTGCTCTTTCACCCCAGCCCCAGGGAGCCAGCAGGATGCAGCAAGTTGCTGCCTTTTTCTCTCCTGCTTTTCAGGTAGCCTTTGGCTTGGAATTAAATGCATTGAGCAATGACCAAACGCCTTTCCCGCACGCTGTGACCACAGCTTTGAAGGGAATGACCAAGACGCGCATCCCCCTTCTGCAGGTCTGTACGCACCTCACTTTAGCCCTCTCTCCTCACGTCCAACTGGAGCTGCCCAGGTGGGCCAGAGCTGTGTGGTGTATGGTGGGGAAAGGGTCATCAGCAGCTCCTTCCCTTCAATGGATATGGAGACAAAATTCATCAGTGCTTTAAAACACTTGCAGAATTCAGAATTACCATGTAATGCTTCCTTTCTGTCCTTCTGCCTTCTCTTCCCCCATACATGTATCTTCTCATGTGTTTTTACATTTTCACACCCATGACTGCAAAAATTGAGATTTTTGCCATTTGTCCAAGCAGGACGGCAGCGTTCACTCAAGGAGGAAGAAATTTGAACTTTCTTACCATAAAAAAGTATATTTTGACCAAAATTCATACACTAGGAAATTATGGATGTAATCTGAAATACTTAAGTTAAAAATTATTCCACAGTTTCCCACGAAAGCTGTAGTTCAGGCTTCTAGAGCTCCTGTTTTCCTCTTTGGGCCCAGAGGTGAGATTCTCTATTGCCTGCTGCAGTTTCTCTCCATGGAGAGGTGAGGAATTTTGCTCATGGTGCTCAAAACATCAGCTCTGACAGGCAGGACATCAGCATGCCCGGATTGGAATATTTCTCATTTCAGCCCAAACCCTTCACCCTGGGGATGTTCACTTTGTTCCATGGAGAGCAGAAGTTTTTGTGACAAATATAATTTAGCAGAAAACAAGGTGCTTCCTTGAAAAAAAAAAAACACACCACTGGCAATATTTTTTACCAGCAAAAGGGATAAAATGACTGAAGAAATTCTGTATTCAGTATATGCCAGGGAAACAGAAGCTGGTAAAGGAGGTCAAGGAGAGTGTGAGGCTGCTGCGGCGTGTGGGGAAGGAGTGCATTGACCAGAGGAGAGAGGCCATCCAGAGCGGGAAGGAAGCCACGCTGGATATTCTCACGCAGATACTGAAAGGAGATGGTAGGGGTCATGTTGCTGTTTCAGTTAATTTACCTGTGGCATGTTTTGCCATGAGATTTGGGGAGGCTTATTTTGGGGATCTGAACTTTGATCCTTCTTTAATGTCTTCAGGAGGGCTTTTTTTCACACTGAGGGTAGTGAGAGTTGCTCCGAAAATTCCCCATTTCTTCATATCGGCTCAAATATTGGCCACAAGTCACCACGGAGTTGCTCACTCAGCATCCTCTGGCATCCCCAATGCCACTTCAGACAAAACATGGGAAACACGGCAGAGCGTTCTGGCTGTTCCAGCTGGGGCACGGACACATTTTCTAATCTCATTTGTTTTTCTCTCTTGACAGCTCTGGAGGAAACTAGAGATGATGAAAACATTCTGGATAACTTTATCACTTTCTTTGTTGCGGGTTGGTAGCTATTCTAATGTTTGGATATGTCATATGGGAAGCCGTACTCATTCTTGGACCATCTGCAGGGTTATGATTAATGTCCTTGCTCACTGTGTGTGATGCTGCTGTCACTTTGTTCCAAGACGGAAGTATTCATCTGGCGTAGGACCATCTGGGCGAGGTCTGAAGAAAGATCTTAGTTTTCTCATAGGCAAATGATATGTTATCCTCCTTCGGTCATCAGCACAGCAAATAATACCAGGGCAGTGGTTTGCAACCTGTGCTGCAGAGGACAGCACTGGCCTGCTGGGGTACAAAGCTATTCCTCATGGGCTTCTGGCCCTTCCTCCCAGATCCTGCCAAACCCCACTGAAAGCATCTTTAACATATTTCACATGTCTTCACGTCACCTCATCCACATGAGCAAATGCCATTCTTGATTTAAGAGCATTTGTCAACGCTTGGTAGGAGAGGGCACTGTCAAGCCTATCAGAAAAAGCAGGGGACGAGATGATAAACAACACAGAGGTAATGTTGTTGCGAGGTAAACAACATAGAAAGATCAATCTTGCAAGATCCTAAGACTGATCTGAGGCTCCTGAGAAGGTGCGGTTAAACCACTGTTCTTTTGCAAGAAAGAGATTATTGCAAGGAACACATCTTTGCAGAAGTCTGTTTTCTGTAATGCTCTAAAATAATGCATAGGCCTATCCATACAAAAATGAAAACTACCCACGTAAAGCAGACATTTCAAAGAAAGATGTTTAGAAACTCTTTTTCCCTCAAAACCAGTAAATCCTTGCTTCTTGGCAGAACTGTGTCCTCCATTACATGCCAAGGCAAATACTGAACCTCACTGGCCCTTCTGTCGAACTCATAACCAGTGGTGCTGGATGCAGCCACTGCAGCTTTGAGTTGAGGAAGGTGGCTTGTACCTTTACCAGCTATGCCTTGTTCTTGTCATTCTTGAAAGCTGCTTATGTAAAAATTGCATCCCTTTTAGTGTTTCCTTTAATTTCTAGCATACTTGAAATTAAACATGCAGGGCCTGATGTTTAAAGTTTCCTGTTCACAATCAAACTAGTAGACCATCTTTGTATCATGTTATTATTTCATACTAACATTTAGATGACTTTTTTATGTCATTAGGTCATGAAACCACTGCCAATCAGTTGTCGTTCACAGTAATGGCACTGGCTCAGCATCCTGAAATACTGGAAAGGTATGTGTGCTCCAGTTTGCAAACGCAGCTTGCTGCTAATTTCAAGGTGAACTTAACTATTATTAAAAAGCTAGGATCAATTCCCAATAAATTCTAGCCTCCCTTCCAAAGTAAACAGTTTCAAAGTCCCAGTATATTTACAATTTTAAAAAAGCTTAAGATTAATTACTTCAATTCCATCTAAGTGATTTTTTTCAAAGCCTTTATACAAAGCTGGTCCTAATTCCTGCATGATTCGGCTGCACTGTATGCACATCACTCCATCCTGATATGAGGCACAAGTTCAGGCAGGCTGGCTGGGAATCAGTAGGCATTTTGCCTGAGGATGGGAGTCAAAGTCCAACTCAGTGTCTGGAAAGTAAAAACTGTAATTTGTCAACTTGCCTAGCAAGAAATGGGTGTCTGCAACTAACATTTTTTAATTTAACTGCAGGCTTCAGGCTGAAGTGGATGAAGTTCTTGGTGCCAAGAGAGACATTGACTATGAGGATCTTGGCAAACTCACCTACTTATCACAGGTACTGTAGGAGTGAGGTAAAATAGCAGTCAGAGCTGTTTGGTAGCACTCCTGCCATCTCCTGGGACTGCCAAGAGGAGCCCCACACTTTCAGAATTTTAAGAGCATTACTACTATTTGATCCTGTCAGCGTTTATCACCAGAGAGTCAGCAAGCAGCTACCATGAGCCATTTGCAACAGCCCAGCCTTGTCGGGGAGGATGGTCCTCGAATTTCTTTCCAAAACCCCACATGATTCCTTCACTGCTTTCTTTAATTATTACGAAGCTGGGAGCTAGAGCGGAGTTGCTTAATCCGTAGCTTTTTAAGATGAAACCATAGCCGTATTTTAAGAAGGGTTTGCAACTTCAAGTCCAACCTGCGTGTAAGTCCCAGGCACTTCCCAACTCACAACTCTATTTTTGTTTGATTATTGTTAAAGCATTTCCAGCTATGATCTCGCCATAGACCATAAACTCAGTGGGATTTGACGACATCCAAAAACAATGGCTGTTTTTTGCAATTTCAATCTTTTATTATTGAATCTTGAAGCCCTCTTCAGTCACTCGAGGAAAAAAAAGTTTGGTCCTAAAAGAGACCTTGTGTATAGAAATGCTGGTTGGTAATGAACTGCAAAGCCAGGGCTTGGCTACTCACCAGCATTTGTGTTGCATATCCTTTTTTACAGAATGGGAGACCCCAGTAGCCCTCAGGAGAGGCTGAATCACAGTCCTGACAGCTATTCTCCCTGCTTAAAATCCTTGTGATTTTAGTAGTCTGCCATGATAGCTCTTCTCTTAAACTGCCCCGTCAAGGTGTGTGATGGTGTTTTACCATTTGCCATATCCCATCCCACAAATCACTGTGCTTTGAAAGCAGATAGATTTCAAAAGTGTATTTCTCATAAGGAAAAGGCGTCTCTGTGTGATTACAGAAATCAGCAGGTTTCCTTAGGCTTCTCCAAACACCATCATAATTACACCACTCCAATTAGGACAAGGTATCTAAGCCTTTCAGTTTGAAGACCTATCACATGAGAGCCTCTCAAAGCAGACCATTTATTTAACAGAACAAGCTTGGATCTGTACAACCAAAATCGCAGTCACCCTTGGTCAGAGCCAATCCGTCACTGGAATATCAGACCATGGGACTCGTCTCCTGTCGCTTAGGCAATTCTGAATCCTTTTGTCCACGCTGCTTTTTCTTTAATCCACTCGTGCATACACACCGTTAATTGCATTTGCAGTGCGATGCTAATGTGCACTGTTAATTAGGTTTCACTTTGATGAAATAAGCCATTCTTACAGCTCACTGCCATCAAAAGAAACGGTCTCATTACGTTTTTTCTCACTGTTCCCTATTCATTTTCCTTTGCCAGGTTGTTTTTTGTCATTTTGGTGCTCTGACTTGGCTCAGCTCCCTGAGCAGCAGAAGCAGGACAAAGGCAGGAGTGGGAGTGCAATGCTGAGAGTGGAAAGGAGCTGGGAGCAATCGCCCATCCTCGTGGCAGCCAGCACCAAGAGCAGCTCATCAGGAGCATGAGACTTCACTCTTAGATATTTCTTTGAATTTGCTTCCCAGGAATTTTTCACTTAGTTGCTGACCTGACTTGAGGTGTCATATGTGTTCAATGCATGGTATCTCTTGCAGTTTTTGCTTCTTTTTCTCTGTATTTTACCAGTTGTAACAAAGAACCAGGCCTGAAGGAGCTGACTTAGCCATATATTTTGCCCACAGGAGCCAAAGGCAGATACACCAGCATCTGTTCCACAAGTCAAAGGCTCCTATTTAGCCAAAGTGAAAAGCCATAGGGAGGTAATTAATTTTATTTCTGCTTCCTATACTGTATTAACTAACTGACCTTTTGTGCTTTTCGCTGATGCAGGTTTTGAAGGAATCGCTGCGGCTGTACCCACCCCTCCCAGGGACCGTACGCTGGATGGAGAAGGAGCACGTCATCAATGGCATCAGAATTCCTGGAAACACAACGCTCGTTGTGAGTCCCATCCACCAGCAGCAGCTTTTAGCTGCTGCAGTTGACCCAAATATAAGGTATCTGTGTATCAGAAGGCCTGAATCCTCCCTGGGCTTATTTTTGCTGGCCTCTGAAATTTTGGGCAAAACTGGGGTATGAACTGGGACTCTGGATCGATTTTGCCTGGGGAGTGGAAGGCAGCTATGGTTTAGTACCTGTGACAACAGTGTGCTGCTCCTGACTAATGCAAATGAACTCTTTCTTGACAGTTTAGCACTTACATAATGGGAAGGATGGAAAGGTATTTCAAGGATCCACTCATTTTCAATCCAGACCGATTTAGCAAAGATGCACCTAAGTGAGTTTCTTTTTACTCTCGGGTTATTAAGTATGTAATAGGGAACCATTCCAGGAAGCGACTTTGAGAGGAAGAAAGTAGAATAAAACTCTTTTTCCATTCCGGTATGAGTAACAGTAAAGCCTTATCCAAATGCAAATAGAGAGCAATAATGTGCAGCTTCTGTTCAGGGGTTCTTTATACAATGCAATACCTTACAAAAAAAGACCAATACTAATGTTATTTAATGTTTATATTGAGGTAAAAAACCAAGGTTTGGGGCAAATCGAGGTTGAATATTTCCCTTAAAGCAAATCAGACATTTAATGTGAAGTGTCTCCACATTAGAGATGGGACAAGGGACCAAGGGACAGAAGGTGCTGTTCAGCCAAGCAGGCAAGCAGCCTAAGCCTAATCAGTAGGCGGGAGTGCAGTAGGAGGGACCAGTGACCTAAACAGTTGGTTCTGATCCCTGCATCTAACTGCTTTGTGAGCCAGGGTTTTACTTCAGCCTAGAGTTAGTCTGGTCTTCTGAGCCATATGTCCCCTCACTCTTAAGGTTCAGAGCTGTCCAAAGGAGCAATAACTGGGTGGATCGTTAAGTCCTCATGACAGGCTGGAGAGCATTTGGAGTATGCTTGACATTCAGCTTTGAAATAAGGTTTGCATGCATCAAAACAGCTCTGTGAGCTGAGCCATATAGTAAGCAGAGATGACAAGGAAACTTGCTGCAGAGCTGCACTGCTGCTCTGAAGCAAAAACATGTTAATTTGGAGACTGTCTTAAGTCAGCTAGGTAAGGTGGTATTTAGACCATTCCCTTGCTGCTGTGATGAAATATTTGCTTGTTTCTTTACAACCAAGCCAGAACAACAGATTTGAGTGTTTTTTCTTTGCAGGCCATATTACTGCTATTTTCCATTCTCTCTGGGACCCCGATCCTGCATCGGGCAGGTGTTTGCACAGGTAAGCAGAGGCCTGGAAGGACGCTTCAGTAGCGAGCACTGGGCCAGCTCAGGGTGTGCTGGCTGTGGCTAGTGGTGGGGGACCCAGGGCCACACTGATGGTGCACTGACCCTCTTCCCTCTGGAGGGAAGATGCCCACCATGCCCACAACAGGGCATGTCTCAAACTTTACCACGTGAGCCAACATATATGTACCAAACTGGTCCCATGTCACCCGTGCCGGCATGCAGCCAAGGTGCCTGCAGAGGAGGGGGCAGCAGGCTGCTCTCCCTCTGAACTGTCCTGGGTCACTCTGCTTGAATCTAAACCACTTGATGGGAATCGCAGTCAACACCCCTTTGCCAGCCAAGGTCAGACAGATGGGGGTGTGTGCAGGTGCTCTTGGGGACCATCCCGTGGCTGTAGCTGGCAGAGTCAAGGCAGGGAAAATGTCAGCTGGCAGGAGGGCAGAAGCCAGGACTGGCACTGAGAAGGTGAGGGGGGGACTGTGTGGATGGGAGGAACAATTTGATGAAGTGTATGAGCATGGCAGAGAGCATTTCAGAAGGACAGTAAGAGGCCAGCTCTTTGGATCTGTGCTGTGAGTTCCTCTAAGCACCAGTGCTCAAAATCTTCACGTTAAAGTGCTTGGTTTTACACTGTGATTTCCAAAAACGGGGCTAACGCTTACACAGAAGGACCCATCTTAGTGCCTGCAGTTGTCTTCAAATCCAGGAAGCCCCAGACTCAGCCAGCTACATTAAGAGTAACGTTTAACTTTTAAATCTCTGTATTGACAAAGCAGCATGACGTAATACACTGACTTTAGGTAGCTGCAGTCCAAGCTGTATTTGCTGTCACCGATGATGAGTTTGCTTTTCTTCTTAACAGGTGGAGGCAAAAGTGGTAATGGCAAAATTGCTGCAGAGGTTTGAATTCCAGCTGGTACCAGGGCAGAGTTTTAAACTGTTGGATGCTGGAACCTTTAGGCCACTAGATGGAGTAATGTGTAAATTAAAGCCAAGGAGCCTTGCGAGAAGCTGCCAGGCATGACTACTTGGGAAAGGAGCGTGACATGGTAGTGGTAGAGTTTCTTCTGATTTTGAAGATCTTCATACTTATCAAACGTTAGATTTTTTTAGGCCCCTTTAGAGGATTACTAGACTGAAATTTTTGCTAGCCTTCCTCATCATTTACTGAAGAAAACCTTAGGAAAGTCACTCTAGATATGTTTAAACGTCTTCAATCTGGAAGCATACCTGGAATTGCAAAGCCTGTTATTTTCCTGGGGGACTATTTGGTTCTGACCAGGCTTGGAAAAGAACATCCTTGCACTGCAGTATCACTGGAGCTCCACACAAACCTAAACTCAAACCCCAGCTGATAGTTTCCACTGACATACAACATGTTGTGTTGTAAGCAAGCCCTTTTTGGGAATTTCATATTTACACAATGAAATCAAAAACTTAGTAGAGCACAAGATTTGGGCTGAATTTGGGAAGAGAAGTTTGGAGCTATTCTCTCAGTCAAAGCAATTTTTCCATCCCTGCTCTAAATGAGGAGCAATCAAATGAAAAACAGAGACTCTGGACACTACTTTTCCCTGTTGCTTCTGCCTCGTTTTTCTTCAGTCTCTCCTACTTTTCTTCCAACATTATTTGGAGTGTAGATTCCCAGTCTGTGCTGTAGAAGGGAGCTCTCCTGCTTCATCCTACCCCTCCCCAGAGCCTGTGCTCATTCTCCTGAGGCACTGTTCTTTTGGGGGTGTCTTGCTGTGTTCATTTTAACCTGGATCGTTTTCCTCATCTGGCTCACCGTGAAGCTACGTGATTGCTGGGCCAGATGGTCTAGTAGGTACAGCAGGGTTGGAAGTAAGTGCCTGTAACCAAATGCTGCTTAAAATTATATTGCTGCTGAAGAAATACATCTGCAACTTGAGCTAGAGACAAGAGAAAGTCCTGCAGCCCCTTCTGCAGATGTGCCAAAATTGCTTGCTGCATGCAGGCTTGCAGACTGGCTCTGCTAGGGAAAAAATGATCATGTGAAAATGCCACTTTCCAGAAATACATGGGTACTTAGTATGAGTTTGGGCCTCATCTACCATGAAATACAGGGAATTCGAGACATTTGGTTCTGCCATTGTTATTTCTTACCTTTTTGAATTAAAAGGGCAAGAACATGTTCTGTACACTGTCAAATTCCCATGGTGGTTTCCACACCAGGAGAGTAACATCCCGGAGTTTTCCCTGGCTCTGTTCCTGTTGTGCAACATCTCATCCAGTGCAACAGTGGGATATCAGGCCAATAACATTGCTGCAGCTTTTGATAATACAAACAACATCCTACAATGTACTAATACAACTTATACTCAGAGGTACCAATACCTCTATTGCTAGGGAGGGTTTGGTCCATCTGTCAGTAGACCAGCTCTTCAAGCCCTCTTGCCTGAGTTCTACTTATATCCTCCTAGACATTAATAAAATGTCATTGGGAAAACTGAGGACTCTCCAGCTGGGCGTGTGTTCCTGGGAGCTGACGTGGTCGGGAGCGGGATGCTCGATGCCTGCCGGGCTAGGTGCGCTGGTGGCATAACAAAAGGCTGAACCCTAAGAATGTGTCAAAGCGGGGGAAGTATCTCAGCGGTGTGGGGAGCGGTGGGGGAAGCTGTGACGGGGAGTGGTGTATGGTGTGAACAGCTTGACAGACACTGGCAAATCGTGCTGTGGAGCTGTGAGACACCATCACGCCAGCTCTCCACTCTGCCCTATGAATGAACGAGTCAAGATGCATTAGTCACACAAAGACATACTCCCTTCTGTTACCTCTGCAATGGGGATGGGCACCTCCAAGGAGGGCTCAAGGAGAGTGGTAGCATGTTAAAACCCTGCAGTGAGTGTTGTCAGACCTCAGCTGCCTGAGACCAGAGCTTCCTGCCTGCTCTGTGCTCACCCTCTTCAGAGGATGCTCTTCCTGCTCTTTCTGCAAGCCCAAATGCCATCCAGCTCTCCAGGGACTGCTGACACAGGCCTTTCTCCTGTTCTACACCCAAGAGCTCTTGCCAGGCTGTCACCTGTCAGTGCTGATCGCCTTCCAGCAGATGGCAAGCTCTCATTGTCCATGCACCCAACGCATCGTGATGCTCCTCAGCCTTGACAGCTCCTTCTCTTAGGAGACAAGCTGTCCTGGCTTCTCCTGGGCATCATACCGCAAGAGTAGGTGATGCCCCGTGATGTTGTGCAAACACCCTGCAGTGTTCTCGCAGTTTCATCCTGCACCCCCAGCCAGGAGGTGACCCCTTGGCCGCCAAAAAAAAGGGTCAGGTTCAGGAAAGCTGCTCCCTGGCACCCTGTGTGCCAACTGGGTGCTGGCACAGGCTTTGACAAACCCTGTTGAGAAAATTCAGGCCAGAAGTGCCTAGGGAGACGCAACTGTGCCTGCCATGGGCTATAAAAAGACCTGGGGGTTGCAGCTTTCTTGGACACCACAGAAGAGGACTGTTTTTCCTTAGCCTGGGGAAGCGAAACACATTATTTCACTTCTGGGGCAAGCGATCATTATCTGCACCAAACACCCTGCTAGGGAGCGTGGCTGGTAAGGCAAAAAAGCAGAGCAAGGTCTGTCTCCCCAGTGCTCTTCCCAGCTGCTTGTAGGAAAGTATCATACCTGCAGCTAATTTTCTTCTTATCTTTTTCCTGGCTCTTGGGCAAAGCAAAGAAAAATCTGGAAATGGCTGGTGGGGTGATTTTGCCTTGGGTGCCACCCAGGAGGGGCCCAGCGCAGCGCTGTGTGGCATGCCTGGAGGCTGGGTGCAAAAAGGTTTCTCAGTTGACATGGAACTGCAATCCAGGCTGCTCAGGACGGCTCCTGCCCCTGCACCCTGCAGGTAAGAGCCTGCCCTCCAGCAGCTCCTCTCGCTTTCACCCTGCCCCAGGTGTGCAGGCTTGCAGATGGACAGGAACTGTCTGGAGGTGGCCAGAAGCTCAGCTGGCAGGAGTCAAGGTAAGCAGCAAAGGTGAGGGTGCCGGCGGTGACCCCCATTCCCAAAGTCTTTATTCAAGGTGTCTAAGTCTTCCTCCTGTTCTGACAGATGGCTGCTGCAGATTTCTTTGATCCCCCTCCCAGACCTATAAACACTTTGACTCCCTCTTCTGGACTGATGCCCAGGACTTTCATGTATGTGCTCGGAGTGAAGACTCCCCCTCACAGGATTTCTCCACAGGTTTTTTATGCTAACCCAAGAGCTTGATCTTATCCCTTTTAGATCAGTGTCCTAGACAAGAAACAGTGAAAACGCTGCTGCCTAGACTTCTTGGGACAGGAGGGAACCAGTCAGGGGATGTGCACCTAGAGGAGCCTCCATCTTTCAGAAGGCAGCAAACCCCTTCACTGCTGGCGTGGGAGAACGTGTTGCTTTCTCACCCCAGCTAGTTTGGAGCACAAGAGACTCCCAATTTTGCATCTACACCTCATGTACAGACTCACCTACATTTCCAGGGAGGAGCCCAGCTAGCATTAGATGGAGGTGGGAAAAAACCACCACAAATTTTCATGAGAGGAGTCTCATCCTAGCCCTTGCAGGAAGCCAGGAGAAGCTCAGAAGCATGTGATTCAATCACACTCATTGAAACTGTAGCACAGCCTGATATTTTTTGAACAGTGGACAGCCTTCTGCTCATCTATAGCCTCTGGAGGAACCAACGTAGATAAGAAAGTGTAAGATACTGTCCTTTTTTGCTGCAGCTAGGTATGCAGAGCAGGAACCAGGATATTTCATTCCTTTTCAGGTTCATCTATCCAGCCACAGCCAGCTCCTAGTCGCTTTCTTCACAGCAGCAGCTTTAGAGCGCCGTGCTACGTGTGTGCAGCACGCCTATGATGTGTGAACATCACCGTATGTTCAGAAAACCTGGTGCTCCGAGGACGTGGTGGGCCTAGTGCAAGCATGCAGGTAAACCATACGTGCATTTGCGCTCGCTGTGGTTGAACGATGAGAGCTGCAGCAGGAGGCTTCCCTGGATCTAAGCAACATCTGCTGTTGAGACAAGACAATCACAAAGCAGGTGTCCGCAGCATGTACCCAACCCATCTCCTCCACACAGCGCTCGCATGCTTTATTGCAAAGGCAATAAAGTCAGACAGAAACCTCCTGCTGCTGCATTACAGGAGAGGGATGGGATGGGATGGGATGGGATGG